TGTGCTATTAGGTGAGCAGAATTATCGGAAGTAGATGCTTCTAACTCTAATATCGCCATAAAACTGAGATATACTCTAAACCACCCCCCACCCCCTACAACCCCCAATCCCCAATGTTTAATGCCTACAAAAACTTGCCTGGAAATAATCAGGCTTTTTCGTTCTTGGCATAGTTACATATATCCCTGTTTGAAAACTTCATCAAAGTCCGATAGGAACTTTGCAAGGCACAGAAGGGCCAAGGATAAGCGGACAATCGTCAGATCGACCAACCGGCAGACAAGTAGACTGAAACACCGTCGGAGCGACGGAAAAGAGTACCTAAATTATACGAGTATTATATCATATTATCTCCCATTTTCCATGTAAAATACCTATGTTCTAAGACCGCCCAGCCGCCATCCTTCATATTTCATATATGAACAGATGATTCACGAAACTTAAAAATCGTATAAATAGCAAGATATGGGCTATATAAGCACATTCTGATAAAAGGTAACACTACTCTGATCTGCAAAAGTGACTGACTTTCAAGCTGCCGAGGTAGAGTGTATTTTGGACCAAATGTAGTTCGATAAGTGGCGATCAAAACCTTATAGTATGCCGTGCCAAACTTTTTCTTTTGAAGAGGCCTTGAAGGATATACTTAATATAGAACGCGTTTCATATATGCATGTTTCGCCCTGTAGAAAACAGCATATTTTCCAAGTGAGGTAGGTGCCTATAATTTTTGTAAGAACTAGGTAGGTACTTTAGATATATTTTATAATAGCGGAGCTATTGACCAATTACACACTAAAAAATCACCCTGCATGTCCCAAATGAGAAAATTGTCTTTTTTGTATAGCTTGCTCAAAAAGAGTGCATACTATTTTTTTAAACCGAAGTACCCGCGTAGGCAAAAGCCTAAATACCGAAGCACTGTGGTTGCTATAAGGAGCTTGAAGACATCTTTTATTTTTGAACTGCCTAAGGTAAGTAAAACTGGGAAAGGCTCAGGCACATTCTTCCACAATCTCGATATCCTAGGAACAAAGGAGAGGTCGTACCGGCCAGTTCTTGTTATTCGACTCAGTTAAGATGGGAGGTCGAAATCAAGCGGGTCTGTCTGGCAGGCTCATCTAAGTCTGATCTTATGATGTTCTTGGCCACCGGTTCTCGTCAACCTTGGGTATGCCAACATGGCCTCCCACTTTATATCAGGATAATATCAAGGGCTGCTGAAGAGGTTGTCCTCATCACGCCAGTAATCGCCAGCGCCGCCAGTCTTTGAACCTTAGCGAGCTTGCGGGTAAGTCTTTTCGATGCATGGCAACCAGACCACACATCCATACTATATCCTGGGTCTTACCACCCAACGTATCTGCCACATCGTTGCTGTCGACTTCCTCATACTTTCCATTTAATGTTTTTAATATCATACTTTGAATAAATAAATGTTATTCCACGCAAATACTATTATTCATATAAATACAAAATTTTCGTCTTAGAAGATTTTCTATGATATTTTGACATCACATCACAAAAACCTATGTCTTTGTTGAGTTGCATTGTTTTAAAAAATGGCAGAGATCCGGTTACCTCGTAGAATGATGTAAGTGTAAAAATGAGGATCCTGATTGAATTTTATACAATTTATGGCCTCCCTTAGCTATGTTTCGGTAATAATTACAGGTAAGATGGTAATTTTGGAAGATTTCCTTCCAGCAGCTTTGTAGCTAATGTTAAGAATGTTACTTGAAAACATTTTGTTACACGTATTGTCAGCCTCATAATTTTCACAAAATATTGCCACCATATATATCTTTTATCTAACAGAAATACAATATTCATGCTAAAAAAATGTATGCAATATTTTGTAGTATAAAGATTAAAAATAAAAATTGACGAGTTACCCAAATTTTGATTTTGAATGTTGACTTCCTGCTTTGCACATTTTTTTAAATTTTAAATTTGATTTTTTCATCAAAAGGTTCAGAAAATTTTCTATATAAAACGATATGTTTGATATCTCAATATAATACTCTTTAATTTGAAGAAATATTCTCAAAACATTCCAAATTGTAATAACGGCGGTATTTCCTTTTCACACCTACTACATACATAGATGTAAGCCCAATTTGAACGGATTTTAAAACCTCACTTTTTTGTTGTCCGCTTAAAATGAAATGCCTCATAAACATTATTTTATATTTTATCTTTTAGTCTTTACGACCTTTCACTTTAACACAACACAAATATTTCATGAACTTCACCAAAAACGAAGTTCTAATCTAGCCAAATTGCCAAATTTGTTTCCTTCTGTACTGACAACGTTGCCCTAAATAACTGTTATTACCCACAAACACATATTTAGAGGAACAAAAACCAATTTATAATGAACATTTATTGAAATCATTAGAGACTCTTTCATAAATTATGGTAGGCTCGATTCGCGATGGTATCCAGCGAGTATTGAGTCGGTATCAGTGTTCTACTCGTAGATAAAGTAACCTCACACTACAACTCTCAACATCGCGGCCGGCGGTGTCGGTTTCATCCCGTTGCATTGCATATACAGTGAATTGGAATCGGAATCGTGATCAAATCGAAGGAATCGGTTCCAAAGCTGGAATCAAATCACCAAACGAGACGATATTTTGATTTTTTATACTTGAACCACCCTGAAGGCCTAAACACCTATTCGGTGCTGTGGTACTAACTATAGAGGGATACAGGGGAAAGGGAGGGAGGCCATAAGGTCTCTAGCGAGGGATCACGAGTGCTTGCAACATGTACACGTTCTGGCACCGCCTTAGAGATTCGTCGGGGGTACCTACCTCCACGTTCGACAATCAGAGACCGTCTACCATCTAGGGAGAATCATAACATTCATAGTCAACAGGAAAATTCGCTTGGGATACCACCACGTCACTGCTACTTGACCCAGCTCTAGTATAAAGTGGAGTGTAGCAGATTTAGGGTAGGCCACACACTTATTACGTAACTGCAAAATAGCAGGAATTATCATTTTGGAGCTAGCTATCATTCACTTCATGTTCACCTTCAGTAGCTGTGTGTGTTGCCTAAGCGTGAAGCCTCAAGCTACGTGCTGTGCATGTAACAATTGCTTCAGAGATGGCACTAGCGGAAGCCATTCTTAGCTTCTATTGTATAAGCTGTAAGTTCATACCTTCATAGGTGCTGTTCAGAGCAAGTACGCGTGGCATGACTAGCGACTAGCTAGTACACAAATGACAAGATTGCCGATCAAATCGCTCTCGTTGCTGTTATAGGTTAGGTATTACATAATAGGGCTGCCGTTTCTGACCTGATCTAAGCTTAAATTGATTGTTGTCGAAAGCCTGTGACATACAAAAGAATGATGGCGTGAACGGTATAGGTCCTTTCCTCTCCCAGACTAGAGAAGTAAAAAACCTGGTCATTTACCGCATCCCCTCTTCGTGCCCCTTACCCCTCGGATGCCCACCGGAAATATGATATCGCAGACGTTGGCGGCATGCGGTGTCCGACCGGCTGGGCGGAGAGCAGTTTTGACAGCGCTTCAGTGCAATTGTGGAAGGTTTAAGAAGCAGAGAGCCACTATTGATCGCATTTTTTGATCCCTTTCCGCATCGGCCGCTGCCCGCCCGCTTCCCCCTTCGTGCGCGCCCCTTACGTTCCCCCCGGTCGCTAAATGCATCCTAACTGTGCACTTCCTAGCACGGCGGATCTCGCCGCTCGCTGCATTTTTACATGCGAAAATTATTCTGGAACAGTAAGGAGGAGATAGCGATGTTGTCAAATCTGGGTGAAGCAACATGGATGCAAATTTTGCTAAAATTATCATCATAGGATTAGGGTTGTTAAGTACATACACGTATTGTGGAGAGTGGGCAGTAACACAACCGGTCTACCCAGACCCGGCCTCTTTCGCAACAGGTTTAAGTTTCATTTCGTTGCGTTCGACGCGACGCGGTTATTGAAAATATTTCATCAATCTAAGTCTTATAAAGGGCAAGTGTACCAGGACACTACGTGTAAAAAGTGCATAAATCACCCGTCAAAAATTGAGATATACCATACTCCAGCTATATCCCAAACCCTAATTTTTTACGCCTCAGAAATATTCCCAAAAATGAGCAGGAGTCTCTGAAACGTCATAAAACAAAGTTGAGTATTTTTCATTGCTCTTTACCTGTAGCTCTGCAGCCACTGGATCGATTCCCAAAACCTAAGACGCTTTTTCGGCTTTGGCATAGCAGTAGAGTTGTTTCAAAATTTCATTAAAATCCGAGCAGTACTTTCCAAGTTATAGAGGGATCAAGACTCAACGGACAGACCGACAGACATATTAGAAGTTTTTGCGAAATTGCAATACTTCCTCGGTCTTCGCCAACTGGCGTGGGAGGTAGAAACGTACCGATTTGCATTAGCACCGCTTGATTCAGGGATAGCATAAACGATTAATCATTTAATGTTAGTGTGCTCCATTGTTATTAATTTTCATCGTAAGTCAGAATAAAGAGAGGAAGTAAGATAATAAGGATATCCGTCTTGCCACGGTGTTATTTTTTGGTGTAAATTCACCTGAGATATTGTATGGAAACGTCAACCCTAAATTCACTTTAAGGTGGGGGTAGCTACCTCTAAAAATTTAGATTGCAATTGGAAGTAGCTTATTATGACACATCATTCAAAAGGTACCTTTATTGTCTTTTAGGGGAAATGTGCCGAATATCGCACCCATTTGGAAATAGCTATATAAAATCGTTAATTACGATGGAACAAATGTGATTCTTGTTCAGTAAGTTTGGAAATTGTATCGTCTAAGTGAACAGTGAATGTATTTCAATGAACTCCATCAAATGTCTATGTAGTGACAGATCATTTCCAATGATGCATTTCCAGTATTCAAAAAAATGTGTTCCTAATATCGCAGTGGTATGCGATATTAGGAATACCTTTTTTGTGGGATAGTGTAAGTGGATCAAAGTATGCGAAAACCATTTATTTGAATATCAGTCTAAATAGATACATAAAATAAAACCGTATTCCTTAAAACAGACACAAAAGTCACAAACAAATTTTTGATAATCATCAGTCCCTGAGTACTCTTCATGACACCAGACTCTACATTTGATACAGGCAATCCACTTTTCGCCCGCTCTGTCGCTCAAATAGGTTTCATTGCAGTACGGACACTCGCTGTTATCTTCACTGTCTTCATCATCTGTGGAAACTGTTAAATCTCCGGCTATATCAATATCTGAATCTGAAGAGGTTACTGATTGCTTTTTCGTCCATTTTGACTTCATTGTTTGGCGTTCACTTTCCTTTTCAGCTGGAGCTTCATTTTCTTGATTTTCGAAGCATTTCTTAGCCACATTTCCGACACATTTCCTTTGCAGTATTTTAGCTCCTTTTCCATTTGTTTTCTGGGCTTTGCTCAAGTCATTAGCCAGGCTATCCTTATAAGGTGAACTAGTCAGCAGAGCAGCTGTACTTGTTTTTCTGCCTTCATTTAACACCTGCCTAAATGCTTCAAATCATTTATAAATTATAAATAATAAACAAAATATAAATTAAGGCAAATAATAGTGTAGAAACAAAATCCTAATGATATATAGTGTTAGTAGTAAAAACAAACTTTACGTTCCTCGTTGGAGAAGGTCATTATTGATCTGGCACATTATAAATTATGACATTCGGTACTATGCTATAAAAGTGCTCGACCAATAATAGCGTACTTCTGAACCTAGGTATGTAAATTTACGTTTATACATCCCCATTAGTTCTTTACATATTTCCATCATAAAAGTATTATGAGGCAAATGAACGATATTTGCAGTCCTCGGATCAGAGACGAGCAATCTAATTGAGGATTGAGGCATACTACATGCGGGGAGCAAAGTGCAAAAAGTGGATACAGAGAGAGTAGGGTAAACGCCGCACGCGCTGCATTCGTACGTTCGGATTCGACCTACTGCTACTTCCACTTCAATGTAAATTGAAAATTCTTTTCATATGGGGTGAATGACCCCTGCCCTGCCAATAATCCATAGCAGCTGCTGTGCCAATGTGACTTCAAATAAGGCATCGCACAGTATTTATTATATTATTGGAGGCATATGATCCTTTAGGAACTGATCTGCGAACACTTTGGGGTATTGATCTTCTAATTATGATTAAGTAACGTTATGTCGTTGCGTTATAGGTTTACTCTGTACAATTTTAATTTCGGACTTGCGGGAAGTCACCTTATAGTCCGGTCGATAGGACGTGAAATTAATTATAACGTTGCTGTTAAAACATCTGGATAAGATTCTGCAGCTGCGGCTCAAAATTACTCAGCCTTTCAGAAATTACGAAAAAATATTTGTTCCGATATTAAAACCAGGTCGAATGTATAATAATGTAGATACCTGTAACTCAAGGGTAAACAGTCGTTAAGTCCAGTCTGACTCAGTTTTGAGCCACAATTATCATTAAATTACACTAACTTGGGTTGATATTGTAGCAAAAAATGACGATAGATCGTTGGCAGTCGATATTTTTAATTTTGAAAACATTGTATCTTCATTAAAACTGTGTTAAAGGGCATTTCACGTAAAGCGGACAACAAAAAAAACAGTATGGTTTTAAAGTGTTTAATATTTGGCCTATTAGTACATCAAGAAGGATTTTGATTTATTTATTTATATTGTCATTATCAGAATGTATACTTTGAAAAACGACACCGGTGGCCGAAACGCCAGTAAAAAGTGTGCGAGGTCTGTGACTGGTGTTATACTCCAGATTCCAAAGTTCATCAACTCATCAAAAAATGAAGTTTAAATAAGAACGACTTTAATAATATGTGTGGCTACCTTCAAGACCATCCGCGCATCAAACCGTCATGCTTGTCAAAGCAGCCATTTTTTCTGGATGCTACAGTATTGTCAAGTTGTGGTCCAGCAGCACCGTATTGTTTCTCATTCTCCCATGTGAGTTGACCTATGCTGGAGATGGATCACATGTTCCACTGCATTTACAGACGATGATGGTGTCATTTGGCCATAAGTTCAAAGAGAGGCCATTTTTGTTTAATTTATTTACTCCAAAATAAGTGTTTTTAAGATGCAATAGAGGTTAAAAAATAGAATGCACATTGATCATAAAGATAGGTATATTTTTCTGTTCTTAGATGTCGCACTGGGTGTAACGTGAGATACTTATTTAGGGCAACTGGCTTACGATATAATGGATTAATGGGCTACAATATGAGTATTTTTAGGCTCTAATAATAATTTTAAATGTGTTTAGATATAAATGTATAGTTTAGAGCTATGTATATTGTTTTTTAAGTACTTTTTATAATGAAATACAAACTATCATTTTTGACATTACTCAACTTTTTCCGAGCATTGATCAGAATGACGAGAGGCAGTCATGCTTAATGATATACTTTGTGATACGAATTTCGATAAGCCGATCAAATGCCTTCCTGGCAAAGCTTGGCCATCCATCAAAGCAGGTTATGCGTTTTGATGTTTTCCGTTTGTCTAGGTACAGTAATGTGAATTAAAACAATAATAATAACAATAATAATAATCTAATCAGACTAGATGAGAATATTTATATAAAAGTGCAAAATGCGGCAATACTCAATACATGCTACATAGTCAGGAAATTCTTAAATGCAGAAGAGTAGAGCGAATTGGTCAAACAACCTGCACTCTTCATACCCAGTAGTATAAAGATGAGCATTCAAAGCGAATCAAAATAATAATACATGTATGTCCTCATTGCATCATTAATAGCACAACCATAGCATTGAGACGTATGATGCAAATGGCGGAGTGTAGCCTTTGGCCAATCTACTCAACCAATATTTGTAAATCTAAAACAAGTCTAAATTAAGTATATACTATATACTATGAACTATAATAATGTATGTTACTGAATACTTGATAAAGTATTAAATGCTTCTAAAATTGTTGTGTTACTGTGTACATAAAATATATTCGACAAAGATTAAGTGCTACCAAAATTTTTGTATTACTATGTGTGTAAAATATTTTGTTTTAAAAGTAAATAATCAATGGTTCACATAATAGCTTTTTTGTTTTGAAACCGAGGAAGTGCCTTTGGTATATAATAGTTTCAGCCTAAAATAACGTGTTTTGATGACGCTGTTAATATGCATGTGAAAACGCAGGTCTTCATCTATGAGTAGTCCTACATTTCTGCATAGACCATTAAATTTTAAATGTGTGCTGCTTATTTTCAGGTTCAGGCTTGCTTTTAGATGTCCCCGTTTTTCTTTCTTGCAAAAAACTACAGCAATTGATTTTTGAGGGTTGAGTTTCATATTATTAATAGCAGAATACCTATTAATAGCAGTTGTTAATATTTTCGAGATCAATATTAATTTTAGCCTCAGCCTTTTTAAAATCATCAGTGGGAAAGCTCAACAATAATTGAGTATTATCGGCATAACAAGTTACATTCGAGTTTTTAATTTTGACGACCAAATCAAATGTATATATTAACAACTAGAGGGGTCTTAGAACTGAACTTTTTGTGGTACCCCTGAAGGAGCATTACGTAAATTTGAAACATTTTTGCCCGGAACCACCTATTGGTGTCTGTCTTTGAGATACGGATCGTAGTGCCGGCTTAACAGGTTCAAGATAAATTCACTTAGCTAGAAGTAGATCATGTCGGATGCCTTACTAAAAGTTGTTATCCAAATTGGAGATTATATCATAAACTATAACAGATACATTACTACGTCCTTTTCGAAAGCCGAACTGCTCCTCAGGCAATATTTTGTTAATACAAGTAAACTCCTGAATTTGTCGATTATTTTCTGTAAAAAGTGATAAAAGTCTGATAGATCTTAAGTCATTTACTTGTTCTTGATTGTTGGTTTTATGAAGTGGCATAACGAGCGACACTTTCCATAGCTGGGGAAAATATCCTGTCTGTTTCCCGCAATTCAGAACGTGAACCAAAGAACTAGAAATGGATGCGAGGCACAATTTCATGGGGTTTATCACGCTGGAGAAGAAGTCATTAAGTTGAAGTCAAGGCATCATATTTTAGATTTTGATACTGCTTCTTTGGGCATATCCAGTCCTGTAACAACGACAAATCGTTCTGCTCGCGTCGGCTAAGCTGAGCCAGTTGGCCGGTCCCCCCACCACTCTCCCTGAAACAGCTGAAGTGAGCGTCAAGTCGTGCTCGGCCAAGCGGCGGACTGCCTGCGTCATGTCGACCTTGAACTTGAACTGGCTGAGGCGATTTTCGGGTATTCAATAGGCTGCCGTTTGGACCAATAGCTGATGGGATACTGTGACCACATTAGCAATGGCCACCTAATCATGTTTAGGATATCCTGATGTTTGGTGTATATGTAGGTTTTCATGAGTTCATTCAAGTTACGGGTTTAGACTTTGTCCGCTGAAGCGCCTGAAATGTAAAACAGCATCTGTAGATATTAGTTAGCATCAAATGGTAGCTAAGGTATCAAGCTGACCTTCATTAATGAATGAATAGGAAAATCTTCAAAGTTTATTTACTTAAGCTCCCCACCTCCACCCTTTAAAAAATAAATGAGAAAATAGCACGCTATACGTAAATCGTTTAGCTAGCGAAATGACCAAGAAAACATCAACAAGCATAAGCAGTCGAGAAAAGCTGAATCATAGGTTTGAAGTTAGGAAGTAGATACTTTCCAACAATCCCTCCCCTTCTTTCATAGATAGAAAGCTCAGTTGGGACGGGGTTAGCAAGGTATTGATGTTAGGAATTCCAAACTAGTAGTTGTCTTTGATACCAACCATGTATCCTTACACTTAGGGCCCTAAAAGCTAACTAGCTATTACAATTTACAGGTCTTACTAATAACTTCCGTTTTTATAAAGTAAAAAGATTACCGGCGAAGAGTATGATTTATAACTTTAAGAAAACAGAAGATTAGGTACATGACTTCAATATGAAAAGGGAGTTAACACGTTAACACCTAGCTTGAAGCTTGACGTATTGGCTATGGCTGTTAGATCCCCTATTCTACTGTCCACACTAATAGTCTAGTCATATTAGCAAATAATTGTAAAGTCTGGTTTTATTGGTGCAAGTTGTTCAAGGGGGTATTTAAAACATGGACGCATAAAATGGGAACAGCAATTTTTGTGGGAAAACTTTTTATTTGACAACAGAGAATGAGAACGCGTATTTTTTTGGACTCAATCGAAAATTTTGACGGGAACAAAAAACTTTTCATATAACATTTTTAGGTATAAATGAGACTTACAAAATGAGACCACACGTAAAAAGATCCGACTGATACCAAAAATGTTATGGCCGAAAAACGAGGCAAAATGCAGGTTTTGGCACTTGTTGGTAATGCAACGATGGTTTCTCGCAAATATTTGGAATTCTTCAAATCCGTAAGATTCATACTCCTAAATAACAACTACAAAATTGGATCATATTGGTCAAGTAGTTTTTTGAGAATTTCTAATTGTTTATCCCAAAACACTTCCGGCCATCACTACTAGTTTATTAAACAATATACAGGGTTCGTTCAAAGAGCATTTAATAGCAAAATACATGTGTTCACCTTGGCGATATGATTCATAAACCGTTCCGAAAGATAAATGTTATTTTTATGCGAAAAACAAGGTTACGTTTTTTCTTGTAAACAAATTTCGTATTTGTGAGTAATTAAACAAATGCGCCACGATATTCGAAAAACATACATTACTATACACATTTTAAAACAAAGCAGCTGTGTCTATCATCTATTGTTGCGAATTACTCACAAATACAACAAGTTTGAATTTGTTTAGGAGAAAAAACGTAACTCATCATTTTTTGCATAAAAATAACATTTATCTTCAGGAATGGTTTGCGATTCGTATCGGCAAGGTAAACTAGTGTAATTTGCTATAAAATGCCCCTTCAACTAACCCTGTATATTGCTCAATAGACCAGTAGTGATGGCCAGAAAACAGGTGCTTTGGGATAAACAATTAAAAATTCTCAAAAACTACTTGACCAATCTACTCCAATTTCGTTGTGAATATTTCGAAATACAGATTCGTAGGAATTTCAAATATCTGCGAGAAACCATTGTCGCAATACCAACAAGTGCCAAAACCTGCAGTTTGCCTCGGTTTTCTCCATAACTTGTTTGCTATTAGTCGGATCTGTTTACGTGTAGTCTCATTATGTAGGTCTCATAAATACCTAAAAATCTTGTATGGAGAGTTTTTTCCGATCCTGCCACAACTTTCGATGAAAACCCAAAAAACACTCATTGTTTGTTGTCGAATAATAAGTTTTCCCACAAAAATTGGTGTACCCATTTTATGAGTTAATGTTTTGAATACCCCCTTGAACAACTTGCATCAATAAAACTTGACTTTACAATTATTTCGCAAACCAGGGGTATTTTCGTCTAATATGATTAGACTACTAGGCGCGCTTCAGGAGAGGACAATTCGTTAACATAACATCAACCCATAATCCCAAACCGCTTTCTTATCAACGCGAACAAAATATCAGTAGTCTATTACGATCCGCCCAGGGAGACAGGTCCATGATCAAATCTGCGAGTTGTATTCTTTTTCATGAGCTTCGATGGATAAAACCAGAGCGATCTAGGAATATTTCACGCCTTCCAGGTTATTCCTATTCGCATTCAGTTATTATATCTATAGACTCTGAAATTGATTATTAACAGGCAAGCGTAAACATTTTTTGGTCATTTCGATTGCACCCACAAAGAAAGCAGTGGCATGCATGGTTAATATCGAAATGTTCGTTTAAAATTTGATTGTATCGCCCCTGGAATAATTCAGTTAGATATAACCAATACTGATTAAGTTACCTACTGAATGCCTGATATCGATTCAGAAGTGTCATATATATAACTTGAGACGTGGTCATTGTCGTCTACACCAGTTAGGTAAAAAATAAAGCTTCCGCCTTTAGTTGGGTACTTCGACAAAATTCAAGTAATGAGGACTCTTTATATTTTATTAGTCTCTAGCTTTCAATGGACTTTGCCATCTTCATCAGGAGCTACAATAACATTCAGAAGAAATAGCAACTATTGTGCAAAATGATTTTAAATTAACTTAAATAGTATGTGATATTGTTGCTAAATGTTATTCACGTTTAAGTTGAGGGAAACATTTAGTAGCCTGGTGAAAGCTGGATACATGGTACATTCGTAAATTTAATATAAAATACACACAGCTGTATGTCAGGAACAAATTAAAACGGATTAAAAATATTTAGAACGAAAGTTAAAATTACATCGTGAACCACCTGATGCTGCACAAAATGGTGTGGCACAGGATCATTAGTAGGATGAAACATTTGACAGAAGGTTGATGGTGTCAGTGTCGATGGATGGAACGAACATTTTTGTAAAGTGTGTGCTATGTTGCCAAATCACTTCAGATGGTGTGATTTAAAGGTATGTTAAATAAGAACTTGTCAACAGACCAGAGGCAGTTGAACAAGCTACATTGTTGTTGAGATGGACAATTAAATTAAACAATTATTTTATTATGAGAAAAAAACAATTATTCAAATTTGAATAGAATGGAAATGTTGGAGGGAAAGGGTGGAATAGACGAAAGAACCAGATCCCATTTATGCTTGTGAAAAGTCAAAACTTGGAGAGATGTGTAAGTGCTCCAACTTTTCGCAGTTTAGCAAATATGAGTAAATGACGCTCAGTTGCTTAACATCTGTCTTCTTACTCATACAGTTGTCATTCATGAAAATGTGGGACATTTCCAGGAATAAACGTTTGGATAGGTGTTTTTCTTTATCATCAGCTTTGATACTGGTGTAGTTCATAGAGTGCCCTATGTATATTTGGTTGCAATTATTGCAATTGATAGAGTAAACTTGTGAAAACAATATTACATTTGAATTGAGATTTGGTAAAAAGAACGTAAAATAAACTGGGTGAACTGAAGTGAGGTGAGATTATCTGAAATTGTTTGTAGATCGAACGCGACTTATAATAACGTCACACTCTAACTTTTAACTCCAACAATAAAGTTTTTCAAATGATCATAAGCATCCAATGTAAAAAAAAGTTTGGACGATTTCCTTCGTTTTTGCCCCTAGCTCCTATCGCTGGATTGATTTTCAAAACCTACAGAGCTTTTTTGTCCTAGAAATAGTAGTAACCTTGTGTCATTATTTCATGAAAATCCCAGTGGTACTTTCCAAGTTACGGAGGAGCCAAAGATTAGCGAACAAGCAGATCGACAGAAATGAATGACATGTAAGATTATTTTCAAAATGTTTCAGGAATACAAAACGCCAATTGGCGTGAAAAGTAGAAGGCTATAAGCTGGCCCCCAAAAAGCAATAAAACTGTCTAAATTCTATGCGAAATATCTGAACCATGAAACAAGACTTTCGCGCACACATCAAGACCATTGTTACCAAAGTGTTCAATAAATTGACTAAATTATCGAACAATATAATATCCAAAACGAAGCAAGTTGTTCATCCTCCTTGTTCCGTCAGCGACCTTGAGTCGATCGAACCATCTGTCGGTTGAAGTACCCTCGGTACCTCGACAGTACTTAGCGACGAAGACCAACGCCGCAGTAAAAATAATGATTTCACGACCGCCAAACAAAAGAATAACTCCGCCAAACTGGTTGTCGAAAATGTTCGCCTGGTTCTTGGCGAACAAAACGAACGTCTACGACCCGTTCTTCTTCTCTTGCTTCTTCTTCTTCGGCTGCCTGCGCGCAAGCAGTTGTTTTATTTTTAAAACTACTTTTGCTTTCGTTGGTCGTCGAAGAAGAAGAGCCATCTTGTCGGCCGGGGGCCGTGTACTTGAACTCAAAATTCGTACGTTCTTTCGTTTTCATTGAATTGGGATACTGAATATATCTCTACCAGTTCGGAGCTTCATATTCAATGTAGTCGGTACATACTGAAAAATAGTTTTCGTTCAAGATCAACACCTTGACGTTGATTTGAGGAAAATATAACTTTTACATATTTCTAAGAAATTCTTCCTAAAATTGAGATTTAGACTTCATAATCATTTTACTTTAAGAAAAAAGATAAAGAAAAGAGGTAATAAACCAGTGTAAATAACCCAAGGTATGGTATGCTTGTAGGTATCATAAAATGTGGGCTTACAGCTAGGAAATCATTTTTCAATGCTATGTAACTTATGCCACTAAATGTAAAAATAAGGTTGGAAAGGTAGAAAGATAAGTACGATGATTTAAAATAAACTGTAATGCAACAGCTAGATAGTTTCTTGTGGATTTTCGAAAAGTGGTTTGTCAAGAATGGCGAAAAACATCTTTTCGCTCATATTTTTCAAACTGAGCTAAACCTAAGCAGACCAAATCAATGTAAAGTTAGCCCTTCTGAGCAAAAATTAGCTACGAACATGTTTAACAAAAAATTAAATGACCTTCCTCCTCAACCTGAGAGGAATTGCTGCCAGCAGATGATCGTTGCTATGTCCATTCTCACGTGGCTGACGAGATTTACTTTTACAACAGACAACAGCACAATAGCGACTCCCGACTGCGACGCACAACGTACGCCAGACCACGTCGCACATATCGACACACGGCTATTGGGAGACATTTCTAAGTTTTAAGGATAAATGTACCTGGACATCTATGATGAGTGAAATATGTCTAATGAGTGCACATAATTACTGGAGTTGGAGGCATATAAATATACCAACTTCAAAAAATTGAGATTTGCCCTCCCCCAGCTCCTTCAACCCCTAACCTACAATTTTTAACCCATAAAATTTTTTCCGAAAATCAATAGGAGCCTCTAAAACATCAAAAAACGAAATTTGAGCGATTTTTATTTTTGGCCTTCTTCACTGGACCGATTTTCAAAAACTACAATTTTTTTGTCCTTGGTATAGTAGTTACCTTGTTTAAAAATGTCATTTTGCAGTCTAGGTAGTTTTTAGTGTGCCACACTATGATCGGTGTGAGCGCCATCACAAGCATCCATGTATGGAGGAATGACTCAACGACACGACATGCATTGTTTGTTACAGAAAGCCGAGTAGTCTGTAGTGTTTATCTCTGAGAAGATGTGAAAGAAAGAAAGTTGGTTGAGTAGCAATATCGCATCTGGATGATTATGTGTATGGGTCTGCATGTGTATAAAATCAATAATATTTATTATGTGAGAAAATTATTGAATATGAATATGCTGCCAATAGAGTAGATATAGTATATCAATTAGCTGTGCCGGCCGAGTTATTTAAATGTTGTCCTTTCTGGAGAGAGGTTGGCCTGGGTAAAGATAACATGGCTACCCAAGAAAACTGTTGAAATATACCCTACTAGTGTAAGACTATCCGTAGCGAAAATTTTCTCGAAATCGTTGCACAACAGAACAGAAAAATGCAAATGAAAATTGGAAAATTGACGCCTTGACGTTCGAAATGGCTCCGTCGGTACCCCAGGCTAGGCATAAGTTTTGGCAGCTGACCTTGTTATTCTTGTCACCTGGATTGCGGTGTTGTCGGCTCATTGGACGTTTCTGCTACCTTTGCTATTATCTTGTGGTATAAAAAAAGCTTTTGATAAAATATTGAGGAATACCAAAGGAGAAACATAAGATTTAAGGTGTAATAATGTTTGAATAATAGCTAAATGAGACTCCGATACATATTCTCATTGTACGTGCAAGAACTAACAAAACAAGACTGGTGTAGTTTATGTTTTATGAAAATTAGTATTGTTACGAAGTTGACATGTTGCAGAAAAGCATGTTATGTCACAAAAAACTTACAACATTTCAAGATAGGTAATACCCGTGCCGAGCGATACTTGAAAATGTGAATGTGTGAAAAAGTTATTGCAACAAAACTGTTAAGTATCGATTGCTTATATTTACATCAAAATAGGATAGACTAACACAAGAGGATGCTTTGAAAGTTCGTAAAATACTATAAAACTATGTTACAAAAAATACATTTCTGGAATAAAATATTGCATTATAATAACACACAAACATCGAGTTTAAAAAATGTCACTATTACCATATTTATGACAGCGTAACTCAAAACAGTTGCAGTGTTGAAAAAGTTTCGCAACATTCTGTTTAGAAACGCTGCGAAACGTTTCACCGTGATGCAGACGAAACGTAAGCAATTCATTCATAATGTTTTTGAGGTAAGTACACTTTCGCAAAAGTTTAATTTTCTGATATTGTGATGGAAGAACCGTTCAACACTGTTGAATCAAAAGTAAAAGAGAGGTTGTTTATTGAAAAAAGTTGTTTCGAACTAGGCCTTAGGGGTTGCGTTTACATCGAAATAAGTAGGCTTATCATTTGTTTTTATAACAAATTCATTTGCCGGCGTTTCCAGTTAAGTCTATCCAGCTTTGAGTTCAAAGTACATACAGCAATAAAGGTATAATTAACACAGAATAAATTAAACTAGATAGGTATTTGGCACGGTTAATTAAAAAAAACATTCAGATACATCTCCACTAAACAACGTTGCGTGCAGATCTTACGGCTTCAATCTTTAAGTAGGCATTCTTCGTATGCCGTGGAGGGTGGAATATTAATCAAGAAATTATTAATTTAAATACTCTTTATATTATTTGCAAATTGGTGAAACAGCTAGAAGCGGTTGGAAAAGATGTGTATTAGAAATTATTCTATATTTGAGGTAACGGTGCAAGTCGGCGGTGCGATATACATCTTCATGGGATAACTCAGAGTTAATTCACAAATTTAATTGATAGGTTTATTCTGTTATGTATATTAATATTCATTTATTTCTGCTAAAATCTCATGTAAAGAGTAGGCGCTGGGAGAAGTTGAGTATGTAAAATGTGAATACCTTATATTGCCATTGGATATAACTCATATTTCCAAGGTATGTACACAAGTGTTTTCCATGAGTTTTACGCCTTTTGTATTTCTCAGGTGCATTCTACTACGAACTGTTTTCTTCAAAATTGTAATTCTTGAATTTGCTTGGGCCATTAATGAAATAACAGTAACATGAATACTAGAAAATATTCGGAAATATCTGCACCCTTTTTGAATCACTGATTCAAATCGTTGCAACACTGTTAATCTTTTATCCGTATGGTTTTAGATGATGGAAAAGCAGTATCTCTGTATTTTGGTTCTGCCTTCTTGGTTACTTGGTTACTCAATTTTGTGCTAGTCTCGTCGCTTCCCTCTCGTACACATTACCTCGTCATGACATTTGGATTTCTCTGTATAAGATAAAAAGATTTACTCTTATTTAAATGCGTTCACTACAAGTGACGGTCAACGAATTCATCCAAAAGGATAATATGTCTGGCAACAACGCATTTATTTCCGAATAAATGAGAACAGCCAAGTTTAGGCAACGACAGCTGTGTTGTGGGCTCCGTTTTTTTGGAGTCATTTCTTAACTCTCTCTAATTTTATTCGCTTTGTCTAGCTACTCTTTGGTATAAATATTTTTTTAATATATCCTGCTTCAATCCAAAATACGTCTTTTGTTAGCCTTCGAAGCATTTATGAGCATTTTTGGGTTCGTATGGATATACCTTATCGAGCAGTGCGACATTGCCAGATTGTGACAGGCGAATTTATAAATCACGGTATGCTGATAACGTAATGTATAGCTTTAAACGGAAATTTAAGGAATTTGTGGGGATTTTGTTTCAAAGTGACATTATGTCGTTTTTTAACATTATATAGGTTTTTTGTGACATTATGTAGGCTTTTCTATAAGATATCAACTTAGCACTAGCTGGTGTTCACTTGATGTGCACTCGTTCTGTAACTGTACATGTTGCCTAGACGTCATAGCGCTTGTAACATCTGCTTTAGAGAGGGCATTATTGGAGGCATAAGATATAAGTTGTATACTATAGCTGGCAGGAAACGGCAGTGCATAGGTGCATAGTGAGGATTTGTGCGGTAATAATCTGTATTGATGATAATTCCATTGCTTTCTTGTCTCTAATACACTTACTTAAGATGTAAGCAAAGCTAGGAATTATTCGTTATTCGCATCCACTTTTTCTTATTCATCCTTAAAATTACACACGCAAATTTGCTGAATTTCATAAATGAGAGAAATAAAAGAAATCCCTGGTTAGTGAAGTATATTACAACCAACACGTGAGAAAATATTCACCGACAAGAATATTTATGAATCGTGAAAAAGTTGTTTCATTTTACATTATTTGTTATTTCCAGTCATTTAACTCTTACAGAAACGTTTGATGGGTCATTCCTAATTTCCCTGTGATGTGACTTAATTACACAAGATGGGAAAATCGTAATTCATAACTTTAAACATAACCTCTCTTCAGGAGGAACAACACAAATAACCCGTCTGGTTCAGCTAATAGATATACTTCACGGGTAGCACATTCAGAAAAAGCTTTCCCACGTAACAAATATCACTGATTTTATACACATGCAGACCAATACACACAATCACCACACAATCGTCCAGACGCGATCTTGCTACTCTGCTACTCAACCAAGTTTCTTTGTTACATCTTCTCAGAGATATACTCTACAGACTATCTCGGCATGATGCAAGCAACAAAACATGATAGGGAACTGATTTGCAGCTGGTCATTGAGCGTGTCGTTGAGTCATTCCTCCACAGGTGATACTTATAGCGCTCATAGTGTGCAATATCAGAGTGAACTATTTGCACACTAGGAACTGTCTAGTCAGTAAGTTGACATTTTGTCGTTTTTGACATTTTTCACGTATCTAATAATCCTGTGGGCAACAAATATTGCCCTTTTAGAGGATCCATTAGATTGAAATTCAGCAAGCAGCAGTAAAAAAAATAACTGGGATGAGCAAAAGTAAGAGCTCACAACTGCCCAGCTCCAAC